AAATAAAAACATATGGCTGTGAAGAAAGCGCAGAAAAGAAACGCCGAAATACATGTGATAAGGCAATACATATGAGATAGTAAAAATCGGAATGTCTCTAGAGAAAAATGAGAGAGAGTGAGGTGAGCTTTATATTGTTGAAGACAAAATGTCGAGCAAATATCAAAAGTTGGATGTCAAAAAAAATTAAACTAAAATCAACCAATTCTTCATACACCGTTTTTTTATGCACTTAGTTATGGGGAAAAACCTCTTCGTTTTTTTTTGTTTTGCCAAAGTTCCAGCAGGTTTTCGATAGCTTGGCTTTCCAGTGTTTTTTTTAAGTTCCTGAACGCGCGGCTCGAAAAATTAGTTGCAAAACACGACATATCACAAACACGATATATGCTGGAATAACACCCCTTGAAATACAAACAGATCCCCTGGGTATTTCCACTAAGTCCACTAATAACAGATCATTTACATACATAGTGGCCTTATGCTAAACATCTCTGTTAAGCTGGTAAGCTGGCAGGCCATAGAGCAAGCTGTTACAATAGTCGACACGACTTGAGACAAATGCTTGAATGAGCGTCTCAGTGGACCGCCTAGAAAGATATCTCCTAATTCCCTAAGTGTTATTTACATGAGAATTCATTGAAAGAGTCGAGTCTAACCATGTCCCTAAGTTCTTAACTACCCCTTTTGGTCTAATTACACAGTCTCCAATTAAAATATGATCAATATTAACTTTGGCTAGTTGTTGCTTGGTACTACCAATCATTAGGAATTCTGTTTTATCGTCATTGAGAAGTAGTTTATCATTGGTCATCCAATTTCGTATATCATCCACACAGTGCTGTATGGCAGTGACAGCTTCAAATTGCCTGGTGCTTATGTTTGGACTGAAAGACACATACAACAGCGTGTTGTCAGTGTAGCAGTGAACCGTGGGAAGGTGCACCTTGATGACATCAAACAATTTGCTTGCATAAATCTTGAAAAGCAATGGCCCGAGGCAAGAGCCCTGCGGTGCTCCAAAGTCCAAATTCAAACTCTGAGATAGATTTCCTTGGACCATAACACGCTGAGATCTTCCATTAAGGTAGGAACGGAACCATTCAAGTGCCGTTCCAGATGTACCAAATTTTGAGTGAAGCCGACTGAGTAAAACATTGTGATCCACAGTATCAAATGCCACTGTGTGGGAAACCTGTAAATTAATGATGCAGTAAACTTTTTATAGTCCTCTTTGCTGTTTCACATAAAAGCGTGAAGCATAAATCAATCCCTGTTCTGTTACAAGGTTGTTTTTTCTTTACAACTTCAGATTATATACGAGTCACTGCCGGTACTAACATGATTAAATTAAGAGTGAAAATAATATTTTTCTTGGATTGAACAAATGTGATGTATAAATCTCTAAAGGTAAAGAAAGTCAACTCATTTTCTGCCCTACTTTGACAGCAAGTCTTTGAAAATGTCTTTAAAACTGTAAGTATAGCGTTTGTTTGATCCATTTGCTTGTTCTGGACCTAGCGAAACATTTCAGCAGAACGTTTAAATCTCTCCTTATCTTGTTCAATACTACGCTTCCACATTTCCATAACTGCTGTCTGGAATTCACCTGCAGAAGATCCACTCAGTTCTGGCTCATCTAGACGCCGTCTTTTTCCCTTACAGCAACTCTTCTCTGTGGGTTTGTCGTCTGCCTTCTTTTCACCAGAGTCGGCGCTCAGATTTTAGGCTGGTGGACTGCTTTCCTCCGGAACATCTTCACTTTCTACTGAGCCTCCTTTCTGCTCTGTACTAGTAAAGATGGAACTTCTTGCAACAGCCATTTTTGTCGGATTTGCGCAGTCGCGATGCCCCATTACTTTGTCAAAATAATCAAAATATGAAAAGCCATCTTTGATGATTTTTATTGCAGCTTCTCTGGTCTTCTGAGTTCGCTGTTTTAGGTGTTTATACTCGTACTCCAAATTCTGTTGGCGTTTCTTGATCTGTTGAAGGGTTCTCTGGCTCTCGGGAAAGGCATTCTTGTAAGATGAATAAATTTCATTTCATATTTTGATCTTTTCCTTTTGAGAGGTGCTTCGAAGCTGGTTATACCTGGGCCACCATGCTTCCAAAACATGTTGAGTCTTGTTGTCGGTCCAATCAGCTGACTTCGATTGAGCTTTCTTTGTCTTACCCTTTGACTTTTCCTCCTCTGACTGTAAAGATGAAGTGCTTGCTACAGAGATGGGAGATTGCGCTCTTGACACGTCAAGAGTACCCAACGACCATTTTTTTAAAAAATAGTCGTAAAGTGTTTTTAACCCTAACAGAGTGTTTATACGTCATTCTTTGTTAATTTTTAACTTTCCTGTGAAAAAAATACCCGGTCGACACTTCTAGCCAGCAGGACTTTGGGGAAATAAAAATCCCAGCCAGATGTCACGTGCGACTATTTTTAACCAGCCAGCATCGTCTAAAATACCGATTAGCACATAATGCCAGCCAGCAAAGCAAAGACATTTAGTGTTGCTAGCCAGCGGTCTCATGGAAAATTTGCCAGCCAGCCAGCGAGGGTGCAATTGTTAATTTCCTAAAAATAGGTTCCTAGTTTTCCTCCATATTGACGGAAAAGTTAAATTTTGTGTAATTTTTGGTTTTTGGAGGTAAGGAGCATAAGAAAGTGCTGCAAGTTTATCTCCCTAGTTCAGTTTATGTATTTGAATTTATTCCTTATATAACCGTTGTAATAACAACGTAAATACGAAGATTTAGTACTCACATTTTTTTAGTTAAGATCCAATAGCCAGGTCCTCACTGTACTGTGGTCGTCAGTTGTTGCCAGTAGTAGTTTAAGGTATCAGATTTTCATTATAAATGAAACCATGTAACCAAAGCGCCCAACGCAAAGCCATTCGACGATTATTGCAGTAATCGACTGAAGTACAGTAAATCACTTAGGGAAGTGGCACCATACCAAGAACCTCTGCTTGTCATTCACTTACACTGACGCCAAATTCAGTATAGGTACACACTCATTCTCCTCCGAATATAAATGGCTAAGTTTATGTTGTTCTCTTTCTGTTTTATTTCTTACGTTATTTTCATTCGGTACTGTACCATGAAAACATGGCTTCTAGACGAAATTGAAAGAGCAAATCAAACTTTGCATCAATGCAGTTCCTGTAGCCTTAAATGGAATTCGCTGAATTCGAAGCCATCACATTCCTCGTTCTTTTAGAATGTACACGCGGAATCTAATGCACGGCCAGTTGATGTTGCTTTTTTTTTTAGGAACGTTCCTTATAACGAAGTAATCACATACCAAAAATGTGGAATCGATCAAACTTTTTGATTAAATAAAACGGTAAAGAGGTTATCACATACAAGGAACGCACAGTCAACTGCTCTTTTTGAAAGGGCGTAAATGATTAATGTGTAATCACAGGCCACGAAAGAATCAACATGACAATAATAGATAGTCCGCTGAACTTGATGAAGGAACGAAAATGTTTTAAAATGCAGTCACGGCATAACCTCTTGCTTGATTGATTAAGGGACGTTAATGATGATGCAATGACATGAGAAGAATGCGCACTCAAATTGATCCAAAGCATAGACAGTTCAGTCAATAATCTTCCTGAAGGGGCGTTAATGATGGAGGGGTAATCCAATGCAAATATAAATAAAGTCAATTCATCTTCCTGAAGGGAAGTCAATGATGGAGAGGTGATCCAATGCAAATGATAGTTCAGTCATTTCATCTTCCTGAAGGGACGTAAATGATGAAGAGGTATTCCAATGCAAATAAAAATAAAGCAAATTGATCTTCCTGAAGGGGCGTAAATGATGGAGAGGTGATCCAATGCAAATGAAAGTTCAGTCATTTCATCTTCCTGAAGGGACGTAAATGATGAAGAGGTATTCCAATGCAAATAAAAATAAAGTCATTTGACTTTCTTGAAGGGGCGTAAATGATGGAGAGCTGATCCAATGCAAATGAAAGTTCAGTCAATTGATCTTCCTGAAGGGACGTAAATGATGGAGAGGTATTATCCGATGCAAATGAAAGTTCAATCAATTTTGTCTTCCTGAAGGCACTTAAATGATGAAGAAATAATTCTATTCCAACGACGTTTACTCAGTTGATCTTCCTTAAGGGACGTAAGTGATGGAACGATAATCCATTGTCAAGAATGTCCACTTAATTGATCTTTCTGAAGGGACGTTAATGATAGAGAGAGAATCCAATGCCACGAAAGTTCAATCAATTCATCTTCCTGAAGGGACATGAATGATGGAGAGGTAATCTATTGCCAAGGACGTTCAGGAAATTTGATGTAAACGATGGAGACATAGTCAAATGTCAAGAAGGCCTAGTCACATTCATCTTCCACATAGGACGAATATGATGAAGAGGTAATCCCCTGCACTGAAAGTTCTGTCAATTGTTCTTCCTAAAAGAACGTAACTAACGGAGAAATAATCCAATGGAAAAGAAAGCTCACTCAATTCATCTTCTTGGAGGGACGTTATGATGGAGATATAATCCAATGCCAAACAATCTTAGTCAACTGATATTTCTAAAGGGGCCTCAATGATGGAAAGGTAATCAAATACTAAGAATGTGCAGGCAACTACTCTTCCGGAAGGGACGTATACGTTGAAGTGGTTAACAAATGCCAGGATGGTGTAGTCGATTGATATTTTTGAAGGGATGTTAACAATGAGGTAATAAAATGCACATATGCAGTCAAGGACCTAAGTGATGAATTTGTAATCCAAGGAAGAGTGTTCAATCAGTTTTCTTTTCGAAGGGATGTAGATATTGAAGAGTGTTTCATATTCCAGGAATGTGTAATCTGATTAATCATAATGAAGGAACGCATAATCAATCTTTGATTCTGAGCCAACAAAACGACGAAGAAGTAAGCAGATTCATTGTTGTTTTGTAAAGAAGACGATGAAGAGGCAATAACTTGTAAAGACTTCACGGGCGGTTGATTTTGATGTATATGACGCCGCTATTTCCTTTCTAAGTCTAAAATCTCAACCATTAACTCTGCACGTAAAGTGGGTGCATCTTCGTACGTCCAACTATAGGTGTGAAGTAGACCGTTACAGATGTCCCTGACTGTGCAAATTTCTGCCACCCCGCAACTTCCAGAACCATTGGTTGGTTGATCCGGCATAGGGACTTTGAAACGTTTAAAATTGTTCCATACCACTGGTAAATACATTTCATTGCCAGTTGTCTTGTGAATGATCTTTAATATTTCCTTTGAGTTGCGCTTGAGTTCTTCTGGAATTGCGCAATGGAAGCCATCGTCAAAGGAAATGGTTTTTTCGCTTACAGAGAAAACTGCTAAGCCCCAATGTGAGTTGTGTAGGTGCACAGGCAAAAACATTTGTCCCACCTTTTCCATGTCATTAGTGAGACTTAACCTCTCCACCACGTTTCTTAAAATTGCGCCCGTCGAGAGAAAAGATGAAAGTAAGATGTTTAACCCGTGGTGCATTTCAACAGCGTTGGCTTTGTCACAGTACTTTTGAATCAAAAAGTCGATAATTTCGTTGCACAAATTTCTCTCTCCCACCAATGATGATAGAACCTGAGACGTGACTTTATAGTTTCCATATGACGCTAAGAAACTGCGATCTTTGTTCCATCTATCCAGCATCGCTGCAGTAACCTCTTGCTCATATTCTTCATTGTTAAAGGCCTGTTTCAACCACTTTTCTTCGAACTGTACCTGCCTTTTGAGACTTTTGACTAAATGGAACCTTCCCAACACTCTAATTCCGTCCCTATCAAAAATGCCATAACCTGGAAACTTGAAGAACAAGGGAGTAGTCTTGCTTTTATTCAACTTTTCTTCGATCTCTGAAAGCACAGACTGTGGTGGCAGCACGAATACTTGCGTTGGATCTGTGAGGTTGTTTCCACTTTCTGTAACTATCTCAAAAACAGTCAAAGCTCCATCAACAGGGGGATAACTTGCCTGACTCAATAATTGTCTGGGATGAAAAAAGTTTTCATTATTGCGAACCACATCTACTAAAATGCCGCTTACCGACGTATTTCTTTCATCAATTACAACATCTACTGAGATAGCTTTGTCTTGCTCACTACCAACAAAACCCGTGTTGGTATCGATGATTTCCGTGCTGCCGCTGTCAGTCATTTGCACTAAACTAGAGGAATGAAACAATCTTCCCTTATTTTCTTTCTTAGAACATTTTCTTCTCTTTGATTTCGGTACATTTCTCTGTGACGAGGGGGATTCTTTTGGGCGCTCTGATAAAGAAACACCTTGCCCCATTTTTCCTCTAACTGTATGCCGCCTCTTGCCCTTCCCTTAATCTTTACTGATCTCTTCGTCAGAACCACTAAGAACCTGATGGGCTTTGGCGTCCATGACAGAGGTTTTGGATACAGAAGGAGCCATATGATCTTTAGAATGGTCGTGATGGTTCAGTTTCCCATTTCGTTTTGTGCTTGTCTGCGGCTTAGATTGTTTTCTACTGCTTCTCATTTCCCTCCTGTCAGATCTGGAAGCATTACTTCTGCTATTCTTGCTAGTACACCGCTTTGCTCTTTTGCCTCATTCGATGACATTGTCCGGGTCGACGGTATGTTTCCTCTTTCTTCCAAATTTAGAGGTAGAGCCAAAGTGAATCGATCGATTAAAGAAGGATGCGGGTAGCCACATATCATCTTGGGGGCCGTAGCCTTTGAACCGTACCTTGTATTCATAACAATGTGCATCTTTAGACAGTCGTCTATCAACAACATCGTCTACCTCGTAGAATTCGTCATCGATCAGGGAAGTTGAAGGGTCTACCTGCTCATCTTCAGTCGGCGAATTACAATCATCGGCATTGAATGGTGAAATCCCAAGTTTCTGAAGACTTTCATTACACGATGGATGGAGGGTGAAACTACCTCGTTTCCCGGGTGTTGTTTGCATATTGACTGTACCAATAATGCTTGATTGTGACTTCCAGTCTGAAAGGAGCACGTCTGCGGGAACAAAATAAATGTCGTCTTCTCTTTGATACATGGAAAATTGAATTCGCACAGTAGCCTTGCTTTTCAGCTGAAAACTAATGACCTCAGAGCTGTCCTTCGTTGATTCCATGGCTTCCACTCTTCCGATACGATATTTCCGCTTCCCATCCTGCGTGACCTTTAGTGCAATGTCGCAGTACTTAAAAATGTCATGCTTCGGGTTCTCATGTTCTTTTCCTGGAAGATACTTAGATGCCCAGTGCCTTTTCTGGCGGCATCGAGAGATGTATTCGCGAGGCAATAAGAGTTTGAGTGCCTGCTTTATGTGCACGTAGGATAACCTCCCATTAGTATACCTGCTAACCTTCCAGGCACGACCACCAGCGTCTCCTTCGCTTTCTCTTTCTTCCTCTATTTCCTTCTCATCTTCTTCTTCATCTTCTTCGTCTACTTTCTGGTTTTCCCCATCTTCAACCGTGTTTACGCTTTCTTCATCCTTATCAGTATCATTCAATGCTCTTCTTCATTGTCTCCACTGCAAAGAGATTCCAAACCTTCCAAGTGTGTGTCTGTGAATGACTTGTCCAGCTTATTATAACCTGCAGGGAGATCGCCCTCAACAACTGTAAAACCACGTGGCTTTGTAAACTTGTATGGTACATCCCAATTGCCGGTTTCCTTTAGCAGATTAATGCATTCTTGGGGTAGGTATTTGGAAAATAGGGCCTGTCCCTGTTTGATCCCTTCTCTGTGAGCTCTTACTTGCGTTGCTTTGACGGATGTGAAGTCATTTGAGTACTTATAGTTTGATGTGTGCTTCATTTCCTTGAAAGCAAAAGCCATGTTCTTTCTCTTATTTGACGCTTTCACGTTAGCTCCAGCAGAGCTCAGGCGTTGTTTCGCATTTAGGTTAAATTGTACCTCGGAACACCTCTCAAGCTCTGTCGTCTTCCCTTGCATTTCTCCTATGATTCTTTCAGTAACTTTAGTTCCAGAATTGTAAGGGGATGCCCAGATATGCCCAAGCTCCTTAAAATGTAGAAACATTGCCAGTTGGTGAATTGTGGCTGCAGAGAATAGGATTTCGGCAGTTCTGTAACAGCCGTAAGTGAGGAACTTTCCGCATTTTGTCGGATTGTGTTTTGCACCAGGTTTTGATTGAAGGATTAACTTTTTTAGTTCAATGACTTTCTTCCACAGACGAAATATCGTGATGTCACAGGAAACTGACTTGTGTACGTCCTCTGGCGAGCCAAAATCTGGAACTCTGAAGGGCTGTATCAGATGATAAACGGCTCTTACATAAAGACTAGTACCATTGGAACCAGGAACATGTGCATCGAGTAGGTCCGCAATATGGTTCGTGAATAGTCGTTCACAAGCGTCTGAATTTTGATTAAGGAGATAAACAAGCAGATGATCTGAGGCGTTAAATCCACATTCTAATCCTAATTCTTGACATCAGTGTTTCAGATCTTAAAAGTGCCTTATTGTTGACACCCGCGACGATCTACGCTCGTCTTCCCAAAAGGTCAATTCATGCGTGTCATGCTTCAAATTCTTCAGGAACAACCTCTGCTCATGGTCGTAGTCCAAGTACGCAATTGAAGGCAGATGCCAATAGTACAGGGAGGCAAACTCCTCGTCATCTATTCCAAGGGCCAAATATTGTACTCCTTCCTTGATTTCCTCCTCTGTTGGCATCATCAGTTGAATTGCCGCCGCCAAGGAAAAACCCACGGAATCGGTAGAGTAACCAATCAAATTGATCGGAGTTTTGCGCACATTTCCCGTGCTGTCAAAATAACAAGCTTTTCTGAGATACTCCCAGTAATGCAGAAGATGATGTTCCTTGTAGCCGCGATCAGGATTTGACCACATGGTTTAATGACGGTAGGCTTTTCAAGCGAGGAGATAGCAGAGAGGTTGTGTACAGACACAGATTTAGCCAAATTGTCGGCGTTGATTAGGTTTTCTACGAGCCTTTTCAATGTAGTGAAATCTGGATCGTTATTTCTGTGATCCTTTCTAGGAACGCGAAGGTTTTGCTCATGCCAAGTGCTAACGTCAGGATGCCAAATTTGCGGAGAATAGTTCTTAGTGTCACAAAACGTGGTTTCGTCTGCTGAGCCCAGCGTAAACCAAACGCCACACTTGAGATCTATGAAGCATTCCAGGATTGCTTGAGTTTTCTTAATTGACATATGATAATTTAGATTAGCTGGGATTTTTCGATTTTGTGAAATTTACGGAGAATATAGGACTGCCGGTCACTTAGTGTTTTGAAAACTTGACCGGTTACCGGACATATTATTAAGCCACAGCGATAAATCAGATAAATTTGATGCCCGTTCTGCGTTTTACAGATATTTATAGACGGCTACTTTAACGGTGGAAGGATACTCTTTCTTTTCCACTCAAACGAAATGTCCTTTTCAAAAAAGCTGTTTGGTATTAACTGTAAAATACAATTTATGGCACAGACCAGCACTGACCAATCCGCAGGTTTGAAATGTGAATGTGAATGTGTCATGAACTGAAACAACCCCGCTTATCTGTCGCAACATTGACGCCCCTTTTTAATAAAACATTAGGTCTAGGACACGTAGGTATAACAAACAAAAATAGCTCATACCTCCTCCAAGTTGTGTCAGTATCTGACTAAGTAAACTCTTTCCAAATATCCACAAACGAACAACGTTTTCCGCCGCCTGAGTGAACACCAATGAACAGGACAGCTGACAGGATCTAGAGGGAGAACATAACAGTGATATTATTTCCAAATTCACCTCATTTTAATATTTTTGCTCAAACATCATCCACCTACAGCACCTACCCGTCTATTTTCAGCAAATTAAGCCCAATAAAGGTTTTGCGCTTAAGGCTGGATTTAAACTATATGATGGATTTTCAGTCAAAACTACACAATTGTTTCAACAGCATAATTGCGGCAATTTCGCTGTTTTCGGGGACAAAACAAAGATCACCTCAGCGCTGAATTCGTTCCTCTTACAGAGCGCATTATTCAATGTAGATACTATGCTTCTGCTATTGGCAGAGCTGGGGAATTTTTTTTAATATCCTTTTTCGAAAAGTCTATGGCAGTGACTGCAAAGGTCATGTTTCTTACACCGGTTCTCTAAGCGACAAAGCAACAGAAGCAATGCAACATTTGGCTCAGCTTTTCCAATTTCGCTGCCTTTCCAGATACAGATCGGTGGCCAGACAGGTCCTAACTGCTTTCCACGCAAAGACAACGCAACCAAACATGCAAAAAAGAGGCCTCTATCGAGTGACAGTAAGATTTCGGTACGAAATGAATGCGAAAGGACTTCAGCACCTTCAAATTAGCTAGCTGCCAGGCTGTACTGAAAAACTGTGTGTTGTCACTATTTGACAGTAAACCACAGCATGACTTATGGTATGTTGTTGCATTACTTGAAATTGACACACCCCACCCCATTTTTGAAGTGTCGGCGGCTTTCTAAACACATTGACCAGACACCCTGAACCGAGTCAGGTCACAATAATTTTTTACAAAACACAGCCAGGGAAAAAAATCCTTCTATCTAGCTAGAACCAGCCTCGCAGCATTACTTCTCACCTAGCAGGGCGTCTTTATCGATTTTCCAGCGAGCAAGGTTGCCAAAATTCAATTTTCCCAGCCAGCAAGTAGCCAAAATTTAATTTCCCAGCCAGCTCAATTTATGTGTGTCGAGCAGGTTTTTTGTAGAGCGGCCCCGTCGGGTACTCCTGACACGTCAGAGATGTTGTGGATCGTGCTGAGCTGAGAGGAATCTTCAAGTTGCTGTTCATTAAACTGCATACGTGTCAACTCAGATGGCCAATAAAAAGAGTTGCTGGTCGAAGGAAAGGGCCATAACTGTCTACCAACCATAGGTGGTTGTAAATGCTCAGGAGAATTTACTCGGCTTGCAAAATGCTGTGAGGTCTTGTGAGTCGCCAAAAATATTTTATGAAAATCATCTCTTACCTAATGGCGAATGAATATGAAGTGTATTTAGAGGCAAGTACAAGAGGTTATCATGCTTATGTCAAGGAATCTACGGTTTACATTGGGGAGATCCTTTTCTGTGAAATGGAACCCGATAATCCGCACAGCCGATTTGCAATTGCAGTCAAATATGAGGAGGACAAGATTGTTGGTCATGTCCCTGCTGAACTTTCTAAAATCTACAAGTTTCTATCAAAGGATGGAACAATTGAACAGGGTCCCAAAGGGGGGTTTGCCGGAGCCCAGGAGCCGTAAAATTGTTTCCGCGAAGCTGAGCCCCATTGCTTCATTGCTTGGAGCACTAATATTATTTTGCTGTAGAGCCTGGAGCCCTCAAAACGTTTGCTGCGGAGTCCGTATCCCCAAATATTAAAATTCGGACATTTTTGCACACAGATAGCGTCACAATGTGATTTGTTTGTTGTTTGCTGGGAATCGGAACAAAGACAGTAAAAAAACAGTAAACTAGACTGAGGCTAACTAACATTTGTTCTTTTCATTGTATTGATGCTGTTCTGGGCATGCGCTGTAATCCACACTTACTACTTTTTAACTGCATCATGTATAAAGGTTTAAACTGTGTCAAATATTAAACGCATCCATTGATCATGATTGATAAATAACTCTAGATAACTGTGAACCACGAGTAGAGTTGAGAAAAACGTATAAAAACAGCGTTTAAGAAATAGAAATTGCTGTATTTTCTCAATTCTATGATTTGCTTTTGGATTAAAGCAAAAAAGCGTAGCGGAGCCTGGAGCCCTTGGTCAATTTCTCGGGAGCCCTGGAGCCCTGTTTATTTTGGTCCGGAGCCCCAGAGCCACACCATTTTGAGTCCGGAGTGTATTGGGAGTAAATTCAACAGAGAACTTCCAGTGGACTATCGACTGATTGGCAATGCTCTATTTCTCAAGAAACTATGTTTTGTAACCCTGAGCAGAAACTGCAGGACATGAACTTAACTGATTTTCAGCATAGCATACCCAATGCAAAAACTTGATGCAGCAATAAAATTCTATACTTATTTATTCAATTTTTATCCAAGTAGTTTACAACATTGATGTGACAATTTTTTTATTCTCACCCTACAGAACAACTAGATAATTTTTTGTAGAAAAAAAGTACTCAATACCAAAACAAGACAGCTTGACAGCTGATAGAGTTATGTAGTTATCTGACAGAAAATATAAACTTCCATGTTTTGTAATTATGACACTTTGACCATTTTATAAGAACATGTTACAATTTTCAGGTTGATCTTGTTCTTATAAAAACGAGGCTTTATTGGCCAAATATCAGCCTGGTGTTCTTAATCCATTTGTTCTAATATGCGGGTGTTTACTGTATTTCAACAGACCATCTCCACCGACACTTGAAAACCTATTGCGCTGCAACTACACATTGAACAAAGGTCAAAAACAAACGTGCAGATAAATGGTAGCAGATAAAAACCTTTCATCAGACACAAGTGAATCAATTTTCCTTACAAATATAAAGCGTGTGTGATATCTATTGCAGTTCCCAGAAGTGAGCAGAAAATATTCTGCAAATACTAAGTTGAATTTAATTGGCCAATCGTTGGTTTGGTATACTCTAATAATAATGACTTTCGGAAGCTGTATGGAAAAAGTAAGTCATTTACATAATATGTACCTCTGTAAATGCTGATCCTTTGCTCTGAACTGAGGAAGTACTGTGAAATCTGCTTTACACAGATTTGAATGCCCTCTTCCAAGTTCAGCGTGAATGACAGCCCTCTGAATCCTCTGCCCTTTTTTCTCATTCAAGTCTGTAGGCTATCCAGTGACAGCTGGGTTCTTCATCCTCATGACATTGATTGTAACTGCATAAACTTTAAGGGTGGAACCCACATGACCCTCTATCCCAGGTACGAATGTGTCTGCAGTGGCACTGGGAAACAACATTCATATATACGCTCTACATAATCTTCAGGGCTATTTCACTGTTGAAGAATGCAAAAGTGGTTAATTCCAGCTCCGGTTGTGAATGTCTCTGATAAACACTCACAGAC